TCAAAAATGAATAATAATTGCCAAGGCTTCATCTAAGAAATTCAGACAACTTAAGACTATTACTACTTGGTGGAAAAGCAAGAGAAATAAGATGAAAGAAATACTAGTGAAAAATGAATAATAATTGACAAGGCTTCATCTAAGAAATTCAGACAACTTAAGACTATTACTACTTGGTGGAAAAGCAAGAGAAATAAGATGAAAGAAATACTAGTCAAAAATGAATAATAATTGACAAGGCTTCATCTAAGAAATTCAGACAACTTAAGACTATTACTACTTGGTGGAAAAGCAAGAGAAATAAGATGAAAGAAATACTAGTCAAAAATGAATAATAATTGACAAGGCTTCATCTAAGAAATTCAGGCAACTTAAGACTATTACTACTTGGCAGGAAAAGCAAGAGAAATAAGATGAAAGAAATACTAGTCAAAAATGAATAATAATTGACAAGGCTTCATCTAAGAAATTCAGACAATTTAAGACTATTACTACTGGAAAAGCAAAGAAATAAAGAGAAAGAAAACTAGTCAAAAAATGAATAATAATTACTTCATCTAAGAAATTCAGACAACTTAAGACTATTAAGTGAAAAAGAAATAAGATGAAAAAATACTAGTGAAAAAATGAATAATAATTGACAAGGCTTCATCTAAGAAATTCAGACAACTTAAGACTATTACTACTTGGTGGAAAAGCAAGAGAAATAAGATGAAAGAAATACTAGTCAAAAATGAATAATAATTGACAAGGCTTCATCTAAGAAATTCAGACAACTTAAGACTATTACTACTTAATTGGAAAAGCAAGAGAAATAAGATGAAAGAAATACTAGTCAAAAATGAATAATAATTGACAAGGCTTCATCTAAGAAATTCAGACAACTTAAGACTATTACTACTTGGTGGAAAAGCAAGAGAAATAAGATGAAAGAAATACTAGTGAAAAAAATGAATAATAATTGACAAGGCTTCATCTAAGAAATTCAGACAACTTAAGACTATTACTACTTGGTGGAAAAGCAAGAGAAATAAGATGAAAGAAATACTAGTCAAAAATGAATAATAATTGCCAAGGCTTCATCTAAGAAATTCAGGCAACTTAAGACTATTACTACTTGGTGGAAAAGCAAGAGAAATAAGATGAAAGAAATACTAGTCAAAAATGAATAATAATTGCCAAGGCTTCATCTAAGAAATTCAGACAACTTAAGACTATTACTACTTGGTGGAAAAGCAAGAGAAATAAGATGAAAGAAATACTATCAAAATGAATAATAATTGACAAGGCTTCATCTAAGAAATTCAGACAACTTAAGACTATTACTACTTGGTGGAAAAGCAAGAGAAATAAGATGAAAAAAAATACTGTCAAAATGAATAATAATTGAACTAAGGCTTCATCTAAGAAATTCAGACAACTTAAGACTATTACTACTTGGTGGAAAAGCAAGAGAAATAAGATGAAAGAAAACTAGTCAAAAAATAATAATAATTGCCAAGGCTTCATCTAAGAAATTCAGGCAACTTAAGACTATTACTACTTGGTGGAAAAGCAAGAGAAATAAGATGAAAGAAATACTAGTCAAAAATGAAAAATAATTGCCAAGGCTTCATCTAAGAAATTCAGACAACTTAAGACTATTACTACTTGGTGGAAAAGCAAGAGAAATAAGATGAAAGAAATACTAGTCAAAAAATGAATAATAATTGCCAAGGCTTCATCTAAGAAATTCAGACAACTTAAGACTATTACTACTTGGTGGAAAAGCAAGAGAAATAAGATGAAAGAAAATACTAGTCATCTAAAAAATGAATAATAATTGCCAAGGCTTCATCTAAGAAATTCAGACAAATTAAGACTATTACTACTTGGTGGAAAAGCAAGAGAAATAAGATGAAAGAAATACTAGTCAAAAATGAATAATAATTGCCAAGGCTTCATCTAAGAAATTCAGACAACTTAAGACTATTATTACCTGGTGGAAAAGCAAGAGAAATAAGATGAAAAGAAATACTAGTCAAAAAATGAATAATAATTGCCAAGGCTTCATCTAAGAAATTCAGACAACTTAAGACTATTACTACTTGGTGGAAAAGCAAGAGAAATAAGATGAAAGAAATACTAGTCAAAAAATGAATAATAATTGCCAAGGCTTCATCTAAGAAATTCAGACAACTTAAGACTATTACTACTTGGTGGAAAAGCAAGAGAAATAAGATGAAAGAAATACTAGTCAAAAATGAATAATAATTGCCAAGGCTTCATCTAAGAAATTCAGACAACTTAAGACTATTACTACTTGGTGGAAAAGCAAGAGAAATAAGATGAAAGAAATACTAGTCAAAAATGAATATTAATTGCCAAGGCTTCATCTAAGAAATTCAGACAAATTAAGACTATTACTACTTGGTGGAAAAGCAAGAGAAATAAGATGAAAGAAATACTAATAAAAAATGAATAATAATTGCCAAGGCTTCATCTAAGAAATTCAGACAAATTAAGACTATTACTACTTGGTGGAAAAGCAAGAGAAATAAGATGAAAGAAATACTAGTCAAAAATGAATAATAATTGCCAAGGCTTCATCTAAGAAATTCAGGCAACTTAAGACTATTACTACTTGGTGGAAAAGCAAGAGAAATAAGATGAAAGAAATACTAGTCAAAAATGAATAATAATTGACAATGTCCCATCTAAGAATTTCAGACAACTTAAGACTATTACTACTTGGTGGAAAAGCAAGAGAAATAAGATGAAAGAAATCCTAGTCAAAAATGAATAATAATTGACAAGGCTTAATCTAAGAAATTCAGACAATTTAAGACTATTAATACTTGGTGGAAAAGCAAAAGAAATAAGATGAAAGAAATACTAGTCAAAAATGAATAATAATTGACAAGGCTTCATCTAAGAAATTCAGACAATTTAAGACTATTACTACTTGGTGGAAAAGCAAAAGAAATAAGATGAAAGAAATACTAGTCAAAAATGAATAATAATTGACAAGGCTTAATCTAAGAAATTCAGACAATTTAAGACTATTACTACTTGGTGGAAAAGCAAGAGAAATAAGATGAAAGAAATACTAGTCAAAAATGAATAATAATTGACAAGGCTTCATCTAAGAAATTCAGACAATTTAAGACTATTACTACTTGGTGGAAAAGCAAAAGAAATAAGATGAAAGAAATACTAGTCAAAAATGAATAATAATTGACAAGGCTTAATCTAAGAAATTCAGACAACTTAAGACTATTACTACTTGGTGGAAAAGCAAAAGAAATAAGATGAAAGAAATACTAGTTAAAAATGAATAATAATTGCCAAGGCTTCATCTAAGAAATTCAGACAACTTAAGACTATTACTACTTGGTGGAAAAGCAAGAGAAATAAGATGAAAGGAATACTAATCAAAAATGAATAATAATTGACAAGGCTTCATCTAAGAAATTCAGGCAACTTAAGACTATTACTACTTGGTGGAAAAGCAAGAGAAATAAGATGAAAGAAATACTAGTCAAAAATGAATAATAATTGACAAGGCTTCATCTAAGAAATTCAGACAACTTAAGACTATTACTACTTGGTGCAAAAGCAAGAGAAATAAGATGAAAGAAATACTAGTCAAAAATGAATAATAATTGACAAGGCTTCATCTAAGAAATTCAGGCAACTTAAGACTATTACTACTTGGTGGAAAAGCAAGAGAAATAAGATGAAAGAAATACTAGTCATAAATGAATAATAATTGACAAGGCTTCATCTAAGAAATTCAGACAACTTAAGACTATTACTACTTGGTGGAAAAGCAAGAGAAATAAGATGAAAGGAATACTAATCAAAAATGAATAATAATTGACAAGGCTTCATCTAAGAAATTCAAACAACTTAAGACTATTACTACTTGGTGGAAAAGCAAGAGAAATAAGATGAAAGAAATCCTAGTCAAAAATGAATAATAATTGACAAGGCTTAATCTAAGAAATTCAGGCAACTTAAGACTATTACTACTTGGTGGAAAAGCAAGAGAAATAAGATGAAAGAAATACTAGTCAAAAATGAATAATAATTGACAAGGCTTCATCTAAGAAATTCAGGCAACTTAAGACTATTACTACTTGGTGGAAAAACAAGAGAAATAAGATGAAAGAAATCCTTGTGAAAAATGAATAATAAATTAATAATAATAACTTAAAACTGTTACTTCTTGGTACAAACGCAAGCTAAATATAGTGATTGTATAGCTTAGATATGACACGAGAAGCTTGATAGAACACTTACTGAGGATCGAACTAACTCAACCTTTTAAAAACCATTAAACCAATCCGAGAAGCCCCGAACTGAAGAGGAATTTATGATGAAAGTACTTATCTTTGACAAAATAAAAAATGCCAATACTTAATATCAGGCAGTTGAACAAATTACGACAATGACCATTTTAATCACTGACAATCTCATTTTAGGCGTGGTCAAAACAAAAAAGATTTTTTCAAATCCTGTCCATTGACTTTGCTACAAGCCAAGGGCCGAATCCTGCGCAAGCGACACTGATTTAATAACGTCAGTTGAATTACTTGGAAGTTGTTGATCCATTGACGAATTTCCTCTTCGAGGGCGCGAGTGTGTTCGAAGGGCAAGGGGTTAATGAGACTCCAGTTATGTGCCAGTCACTTTATATGACGTCAGACCGCTTTTGTGTTACACTTATCCGACAGACACGTGAAAAAAATATCGCATTAAAAAGACGTTAATGTCAACGAAACGGATCGGGGGGGGGGGTGCGGATATGAGAGTGTGGGTACGTTGCAACAAGTCAATCTGAATCTGAATTATGGGGCAAGTACCGCGGCTCATTTTACACGCAGAAATACTCTTGTGAAACTAGGTGTCTACAGTGGGTTCGATTTAAGGACAAATTCGTCAGTACAGCGGCCTTGGTCCACTAGAAGTAATTAGATACAGCGTTCTTGTCTTAAACGAAGTTGACCTTGATACAGGAAAATGCAGGCGGAAAATCTATCTATCTATCTATCTATCTATCTATCTATCTATCTATCTATCTCAGTCATTTCATATCTATCTATTTCAGTCTGTTCATATCTATCTATCTATCTATCTATCTATCTATCTATCTATCTATCTATCTATCTACCACATTATTTTAGATGAGTGCACCGTGGGGTCCGGTCGAAGAACTTGCCAAACACACCCTAACATTTGGCACCTACCTCTCCTGATTTAATTCCTATGGACCCCCCTCCATGGCAGGAATACCAACAGGCATAACTATAACATTTACAGATATATTCTGAATCTATTTGCTTGATTCAATAAAGAAATGATGTTTCTGTCGCCACCTGAAAATATTAAAAATTGTCACCAATATTCAGTGGTCTTAAAACGATTAATCGGTTACTTACTTTAGTGAATCATTTCCACGTGACGCAATTAATAGTCAGTGTAATATTCAAGAAAATTAACCGTAAATAATCAACAGTGACTTTCTTTAGAGACATTTGCTACTTATATTATTACCAAATATGGCTGATTTTGCATTCTTGTAACATTTTGTCAATTGAAGATAAATTTAGTCACGGGTTTCCTGTTTAGGATTGGGTTTCAGGTTCCTTTTAAAGTTTATTTCAGCTCTGTAGGTCTAACGTCTCCGTCTGAAATCTGAAATATTATTTATTAAATCATTTATTTATTTTATTTTTTCTTACTAATAGGAGTAGAAAGGTTGGTCTATCGTCCGGTTGACACAATTTTCCGGTCATTTGAACAGGAGTAGAGGTTTATCCTTTGTTTCCTGTTTAGGATTGGATTTTACGTTCCTTTTAAAGTCTATTTCAACTCTGTAGGTCTAACGTCTCCGTCTGAAATCTGAAATATTATTTATTTAATCATTTATTTATTTTAATTTTTCTTTCTAATCAGAGTAGATAGGTTGGCCTATCGTCCGGTTGACACACTTTTCCTGTGATTTGAACACGAGTAGGACTTTATCCTTTGCGACAACAACAACAAAAATTGCAATATGACCACCGGTAAAAACGGTTACTGAACACATTAGGTTTATTATACCCAGAAATTCATACATAGATGTCATCAAGGACACATGGCACAGTGGAAAAACGCGTTGGTTAGATCCAGTGACAGGACCCAAATCTTGAGAATTCATTACCCGTTTAAGTAGTGGAGTTTTCAGTTATTTTCTGTTAATTCCCCTCTCCAATTTCTCCACCGCCTTAACCAGGTAAGGGACACATGGCCCAGTGGATAAAGGCGTTAGATGTGGGCCAGACATCGCTTAACTCCCAAATATACCCTTTAAAGTAATGCGAAATAACAGCGTCCAAGAAATTGAGTGAAACCTTCTCTCATGATCAGGATTTATTTTATTGTATCTTCTTCCTTTTATGTCGGTTTTCTTCTTCACCCCTTACCCATCCATATCTAGAGATAACATACGTTAAGTTAAGCGATGTCTGGCCCACACCAAGTGGGGTTAGGGATAAAGAATTGAGATAGTACATCTAACTCATGTCTTCTCTCCCCCCTCACTTCCTCACTTCGTTAATTTACATATTCTTAATACGGCCCGTCAAAAATGTATAAATTTCTTTTCATTTTTCATTTCAACCTTTGGAAGTAAAGTCTGATGATCCAGAGCCATTTAAAAGGGCTGTGGTGAAATAATTTATTACATGGAACCTTAAAGTGGTCTGTTTTTATTCAAATATATTTGCTCTGAATTTACATTGAGCTCTCCGGATATCATCCTCCTTGGGTCTACCCATACGGATTACCTAATTTTGCATAAACTATATATATATATATATATATATATATATATATATATATATGTATTTAAATAAAAAGAAAGAACAGTAAGATATATAATCCGGTGTTCTTATAGATATTTTTATTTTTACAAAATACTGCTCAATGTAAACTTACAGAGCATTAATATTATAAATTAATTGATTTAAAATATGTTTTTTTTTCGCTACACAGTTCTAACCATGTTTCAAAAATTAAATTAAAGACATTAGTTCCATTTCATCCTCAAGCCAATTCGCTTTTGAGGATGAAATGGAACTTTTGAGCCTTTAATTTAATTACAAAATTAAATTCGTGGCTTTTAGCTTCCCATTTTGAAACATGGTTAGAACTGTGTAGCGGAAAAAACATATTTTAAATCAATTAATTTAAAATATATATATATATATATATATATATATATATATGTGTATGTGTGTGTGTAAACACACACACACACACACACACACACACACACACACACACACACATATATATATATATATATAGAATACACGTTTACCCTGAAAGGATAAAATTACGTTGTAGATAGAAAGGCATAAAATTGCGTACAAGATATTTCCATTTCGATATTAAATAACCCATAGAGGTGTTGATATGCCGCTAAACAAAAATAGCCAACGAACAAAGCGCATATGACAATGTTGTAGGCAGTCTTGTAAAGAGATATTTTACATACACATACACACACACATATATAAGATATGTATATCTTAATTTCTTTAAAGCCAATATTATTTCTTTATCAACAATATAATTTTCAGAAGTTATTGTTGATATATATTTTATTAATTAATTCTCTGTGAAATATTATGTCTGAAAATGAAATCCTTGCCATACAATTAATCATGTTTGTTTTTTTTTTATAACACCTGGTATCAGTGAGGAGATTCGCATTTAGATTATCTTTCTTCAGAAGGTTGGGGGTCATGGCTCTCCACAACATCTTGTCCTTTGTAGCTCTTATTAAATTTTGTCTTTTGCTATCCCTTCTAAATCCTGTTCTGCCATCCATTTATACAAGCTCCTCATGGAATGTTTTCTTTTGTCCCTCTTGCCTTCAATATGTCCTGTGAGTGTCAAATTTTCCAAGTCTTGTTTCTTTTCATTTGGGAAGTACCTAAAAGCGATTACCACAAGTTGACCCAAGCATTGTGTGTGAAATTGGGGTGGGAAACTGTTTGGAAGACGTTGATGGCTGGAAGTCACAAGTCATCGTGGCCGAGATTTGAGCGGACTGCCCTTGTTCAAACTGCTGATCATTCCCGATTATACGCTCTCTTTCAGAAACTGTAACTGAGGTCAGCTCAGCTCAACTCAGCTCAGCATTATTGCAGCATAAACCATAAGATAATTCTGTGCGTTTTCGGACAGACACAAATCTGCCTTTGAAGGTTTCTACATCAAGGATTGTCTAGCGGCTCCCGTAGCCAAAAAATACTCGGAAACTGGCCGCCAGACACACTTACACACTTACACACACACATACACCCTCTGCGCGCGCACACACACACACACACACACACACACACACACACACACACACACACACACACACACACACATATATATATATATATATATATATATATATATATATATATACATATTTGGTTGGATTGATGTGAGTTTGTGATCCTGTTTGTGATGTCACTCATGCTATTCCCTCACTTCCATAATAACACGAATACATGCAACCTACATAAATACAAAATTTAAAAAAATTAATCAGTTTGTCTGACGATCACAAAAGCGTGAAACACAGGGTCACAAACTCACATCTATCCAACCAAATATGTTAGCTCTATCTCTGATATTGAGCGCTTTCTAATAAGTACCGCATATAATATATAAATACTAATATATATAATATATTGCACACACACACACACACACACACACACATACATACATATATATATATATATATATATATATATATATATATATATATATATATATATAAACATATATATATATATATGATATGTCCCGGAAAGGGATATATTTGAACGAAGTAGCTAAGTGGTTTTGGCTACTATAACCAAGTAGAATATGGTAGCAGTAATCGACTGGTACTCGTCATAGTCGCAGGTAAGAAGTGTAGATCAATGGCGTAGTCAAATGGGCGTCGTTATAGACTTAGCTCTCAGACTAAGGTTCTTGACTCTGTCGTACCTACACGTCCGTCTGTATTTATGACGGACACCAGCCAATCATATTTCAGTGAGGGGGAACGCAGGTTTATGCATATTCCATTATATCAGTATATCAAAAAGAAGAGAGATACCGCAAACGTTTTTGGTTGTAATGTGGATTTAAAAAAAATATATTATGTTTAATTTTCCATAATTTTACTAAACGTGTTTCTGGTCTCACGACCGTCTTCAGGTTAAAAGCGGAGATTTCCACATATTAAAAATAATTAATTTTTTTCTCCTTTATGTTTTTCGATGTTAAATATTCTCGATATGAGACATTCTCTTTTTATGTGTTAGTAATCCGAATATTTTTCTTGAGTATTTTTAATATTATATATTGTATAAAAAAAATTATTACCAGCCAAACATTTTTGGAAAAAAAAAAAATATTACCAGCGATGGAAAATTCTTACCAGAAATAGATTTTTAGAAAAAAATATTACCGACAATGAAAATTTTGTCAACATTAAATAACTCATTGAGGTTGATATGTCGTAAAACAAAACAAACCCTTCCTATAATTAAGAACGGTGGTGAGAGCATTCTGCTCTGGGGAATTTTTGCTGCTTCTGGACTAGATCTCGTGAGAGTACAGGGTATCTGGATAAAGAGAAGTATTTGGCTATTCTTAAAAATAATATAAAACAAAGGGTACAAAATGTGTATTTGGGGCCTCACTGTACGTTCAAACATGTCAATGACCTGAAACACACGGTGCAAATTTTTACAAAATACTTAGACGACAGCAAAATTAAGCTATTGACATACTCCGCAAAAAGGCTTGACATAAACCCCATTGAAAATTTATGGGCATATTTCAAGAGAAAAATAAGAGAAAGAAGTCTTTTGAATGTGGATGAACTAGAAGCTATTTGACAAAGAAGACTGGATCAAAATACTTATCAGTGTGTGTAGTGATCTAGTAAGGTACTATCAAAAATGATTAAAATATATAATCAAGAATAAAGGTTACACAATTGATTATTGAGTCAAGGCAGCTAATAATTTTGTCCTAGGCTAAATTGTATTGGTGTTTTTGTATCATTGTTTGACATTAAACTAAAAACGTTGTTGTGGACATCACTGCACATTCTTTCAAATCCATTATTTCATATATAATA